CGAGGTATGGAGTTCCTCAGCGATGAGCCTGAAAGGAATTGTAATGTATCGGACTCTTGAGGTTCGCGGTAGTAAGTTCCTCGGCTATGAGCCTGAGGAACTGTATTTAGGCCAGATAGTCTAGGCTTAAAAAAGAGAGAATATGTTTTCTTTTCTTAATATCTCTTTAGGGCTACTTATACTGCCCCCGTAATGGAAGGTATTGCCCCCATGAAGGAAAGAAAAATATGTCTCGTTTGATGGCGGCGATGCAGATAATTTTCATGTAATTATACGCATCGGCACTCTTTGTGCTTTGGAGGAGTTTACATGAAAATTTAACCTTCGACGTATTTGAGTTCAAGGTGATTTTCATGTAATTTTATTCATCGGCACTGTTTTGTACCTTAGAGAATTTTGTATTTGAGGTAATTTTCATGAAATTTTATTCCTGTTGCAGCTCATTATGCGTTAAAGGAATTTTGAAGTCTTCGGACTCTTGAGGTCCGAAGATGAATTTTCTTCCTCGGCAGCTCGTTGTGCCTTTAGAGGAAATTTGAAGTCCTCGGACTCTTGAGGTCCGAAGATGAATTTTCTTCCTTGGCAGCTCGTTATGCCTTAGAGGTAATTTGAAGTCCTCGGACTCTTAAGGTCCGAAGATGAATATTCTTCCTCGGCAGCTCGTTGTGCCTCAGAGGAATTTTGAAATCTGCGGACTCTTGAGGTCCGAAGATGAATTTTATTCCTTGGCAGCTTTGTGTGGCTTAGAGGAAGTTTGAAATATGCGGACTTGTGAGGTCCGAAGATGAATTTTATTCCTCGGCAGCTCTGTGTGCCTTAGAGGAAGTTTGAAATATGCAGACTCGTGATGTCAGAAGATGAATTTTATTCCTCGGCAGCTCTGTGTGCCTTAGAGGAACTTTGAAATCCTCGGACTCTTGAGGTCCGAAGATGAATTTTCTTCCTCGGCATCTCGTTGTGCCTTAGAGGAATTTTGAAATTTACAGACTCTTGAGGTCCGAAGATACATTTTCTTCTCGGCAGCTCGTTGTGCCTTAGAAGAAATTTTACTTTTTGATACTTTCGAACTCTTGAGGTCCGAGGCTACTTTTTGGTGTTCGGCTTGCCCCCAAATATATATATATATATTTTTTTCCAACGTTTTGACACCACATATAGCATAGTTGCATAGTTGGGCTATTTGCCACTTCACTTGGGGATCAGTCTTTCTTGCCATGCAAATAAACCAAACCCAAATATTATTAATCAATATACGAATAAGGAGCAAATATGAAGTAATTTGTAAACAAAGTTATCAGAAGCATGTAAAATAATTACATGTAGCATATAACAACTGATTGAAGGAAATAAAGAATTTTAAGAACTTCTTATATATCACAATTGAATTTTTAATAAGATATTCTAATTAGCAGCAAGTATATTGAAATTACTCAATGTATGTAATATTTTAGGACTTCAAGTAATAAACCAAATAGCACAGCTCGTGCATTCAACAATGCCTTTGGCCTCAGATCTTTTATTCAGAAGTTAATGTAGAGGGTCAAACGCTTTTTAGTTGAGTATTGACGAAGTAGTGCATCCCTCTGAAGAGTCTGAACCAATAATATCAGGTGTTATGGTTCTAAGGTTTTGATCAATTATCAACCTTCAGTGAACAACTAATGGATATAATCTAAAAGTCTGATCAAAGTCAATCGTGAGCGGAACAGCTAGTGGATATGACTGAAATTGCAATGCTAAAAATCCTCGATGAGAGAAAGAGGGATGAATTCGTAGATCTACTATAATATTGACAGTCACACATACACATATGTATATATATATGAGGAGAGATGCAAATTAAGTGTGAATAAAAGTGATTTCTGATCACAACCGAAGAAGGAGAGACTAAAGAATCTGTTGAGTGCTGACGGAGACAGAAACTTACGGTGGCCTCTCATTTATATTTTTACACAATAGAGTGTGCCGAATAAACAATTTGGTTCTTATAGGTTATACCAAATTGAGTCATAAATCTTTATGTATAATGATCGTCTACATGAATTACAAAATATGATTGCATCATGTGTAAATATATATATAATATAGATATATGTATATATATATATATATATCTATATATATATATATATATATATATATATATATTACTATGTATTTAATTTTTAATAACAATTCGTATCATGAAAAGCTTAACCCAAATTGTAAAAATCAAAGTTGGGAAACTTATTTGATTGGATGTTTGAAATACCCGGCCAATAAGTCTGCTGGAGTTTGTGGCGTTATTGATGGAAAGAACCTTGTGCGCCGGCTTGCGTTTTTAGACGTCGGCGCTTGTTATATGGAGGCCTTTGACCATGAGAGTGGAGGCCTTTGACCATGAGAGTCGTTGTTGGAGAGGACTTGGGTTCAAATCCTGGACTTGAAGATGTTAATTTCAAGTCACGTTGCTGGACTTGGAGATTTTAATCTGAAGTGTCGTAACTTTGGTGGGGATATATTTCTATACGTTTCCCACAGACGGCGCCAAAGTGTAGGTGCAAAATTTCGCCCAACCAATAATGATTGAGAAAAATAAAACAACTCACTCAAAAAACAATAAAAATAAATAAGAACAAGGTGTAGAGAAGCGTAGAATTGCTTGATCCCTTTATTGGAGGTCTAAGCCTCTATTTATATACAAAAGATTGTAAAATTATGGTAAGACTCGCGTTGCTTGTCCTCCAATTCTTTCTATATAAACATTCTTTACTAATAGAGTTCTTTCCATTGTCTAATTTTCCATACATAGAACTTGCCTTGTACAGAACTTCCTATCTCAGAATTTTCCTTCTACGGTAAATCCTTCAACTGGTAAGACTTGTGTATTCTTGAGTAACTGGGCTGAACATAGTTTGCTCCGGTTGGGCTTGAGTAACGGACCGGATGTTAAATATTAATATGTTGGGCTGATAATCTCTTAATTCGGGCTTCAACAGGGCTGAAGGTCATATAACAATAGTATTGGGCTTGTCAACAATGATCTTGGATTAGTATCAAACTCAATTTGGATTTGAGCGAGGTGGGCTTTATAAACTTATCAAGGATATGTTTATATTTATGATGACGTGGATTATTCTCGTTGGAGGGGATTTTTTCCCTCCACAAGGGTCAACATTTTAATTTATATATAATGGTATTATTCTTTTCATTTGATGAGATGTGAAAATTTTAGGGTCGGACTGAACTAGACATTGATATATACAACACCGGTAATAATCTCTATATATAGCACTCTGCTTCTTCTGTCACACACAATTAACGGGATCAGTTGGTCAAGAAGAGGAAAACAAGAAGACTAGACTTTTAAAGAACCAGTGCATACTAGAAGAGGCCCGGGAAATAGAATTACAAAGGTCAACGTAACAATATTGATCAATGAAATGACTGGCCATTTTAATAGCATGGTTCAATTTTCTAAGATGAGCTTAGAAACTTGGACCTTCTTGGTTTAATTTTCTGATAACCGAAATTATATATTGTATAAAAAATAGTTTAGCTGATAATTTTTTGAATCCATTTATTTCTTTTATAGTTATTTAAAAACGTTATTTTATTTTAATTTTGTAAATTTTTTAGACTATTTTTTAAGTGACAAACCATGTAAGATTTAACCCACTTATGTGCATAGGTATAAAGTACAAATTGGCCCAGAAACCAAATTCAACATTTTATTTCAAGTTCGATTCTAAACCGAGAGAGAAGACATGAAAATGTAAGGAATAAGGACAACAATGTATGTCAATCTTTGTCATGTATGGAGGATAAGTAAAAGAACAGAAAGAAAACATGAAAACAAACGCAAATAGAGAGAGATTTGAACGTAAAATTAAAACTGTATTAGTTAAATTACTCAAAAATAAAAATAAAACAAAAACAAAAAACTTCAGCTATCTGTCTTTCAGAATTCAGAGTGAGGTATAAGTGGTTCGGTTAAAAGGGCATAATGGCATTGGTCAAACTGGGTTGGGGAAATGGGAACTAGGGAGGGTTAAATCAACCATCTTGCTTAGGCCCACTATAAGGTCATCATGGTTGGGCTTCGAACAATATAGTGAACAACTTGGGTTTACGTGATCACATCTAGAAATAAATGGGCTTTATTAGGCCCTTTGACACTGGTTTAAAAGAAGCATGCAAGTTCTCTCCGGGGCCTAGTTCTATATGAAATTAACGTGACATTATAAGATTTTTACTTCTAATCAAATTTATGTAAAACGTAAAAAAAAAAGGATATATGTGTCCCAAGTTTTATTTCGGCTTTCAATTTTCTAACGGGTCCACAAAAGCGTTGTCCGGCTTGAATTAGTCGAAGTTGATTTCTAGTCGCCCTCTCACTTTGAAGAAGAACCGCTCTTACAACGCGTAGCAATTAAAGTACCATATATATATAATATATATATTCATCGTCTGTCATTTTAAATCTAATTAATATTGTTAACCAAGTTGAGGATTTATATGCATGAGAAGCTTAATTAATCTCAAGTCAAAAGGTTTCTATTTCAAATGTCAGTTATAAACTACCATTGCCTGTCTAATGGAAACACGTGCAGCAGTAGTTTCCTTTTGAAAAGACAAACAACGGGTCATTCACAAATATATATCTATACATATAAATTCATGTATAAATATATGTAACTATATACATGGTACCTCACTCGGTTTTGATCACATGACTACGGTCAATTCTCTCTCCTCTCTTTAATATGTGCAAAGTCGACCCCAACCACGTGCATGGAAATTTCCTTATCTCAAGACATTGCTGGTCTGCTATGCCTATAAAAGGACCATTTCACCTCGAAACATTTCATACTTGATCATATCATCCTCTTTATCTCTCTCTCTCTCATTACATTTATCTGTCTCTAGTAATTTTAGGTTCACACTCTAAATCTCTCTCTCTCTCTCTCTCTCTCTCTCTCTCTCTCTCTCTCTCTCTCTCTCTCTCTCGTTTAATTAAGATCATGATGGCTGAAGTACAGAAAAGATATGCTTTGCTACTAGCAGCAAATGATTCTGAGTATGTGAAGGAAGTGTATGGTGGCTATTTCAATGTTTTTGTTGCGGCTTTTGGGGAAGAAGGAGAGAGGTGGGACTTGTTTAGGGTTGTTGAAGGAGAGTTTCCGGACATGAATGAGCTCCAAAACTATGATGGCTTTGTGGTCAGTGGTAGCCCTTTCGATGCTTATGGCAATGACCCTTGGGTTCTCAAGCTTTGCTTTCTTTTGCAAACCCTAGACTCCATGCATAAGAAAGTCCTTGGTATTTGCTTTGGACACCAGGTAATAATTTATAGACTACTTTTCACATTCTATATATAATTCATATTGTGTTTACTAATATATATTTGATTCATTGACAAAGAAACTAATCCATGATTATATAAATTTATATATGTATAGGTTTTGTGCAGATCGTTGGGTGGAAAAGTTGGGAAGGCAAACAGTGGTTGGGATATTGGACTAAGAAAAGTGAAAATTGTGAAAGATTTCTCTCCATGCGGTTTCCTAAAAGGGTCGGATGAAATCCCAGCAGCCCTTTCAATCATTGAATGCCACCAAGATGAGGTATGGGAGGTTCCCGTTGGTGCTGAAGTGATTGCATATTCAGATAAAACGGGAGTGGAGATGTACACTATTGGAGACCACATTCTAGGAATCCAAGGTCATCCGGAGTACACCAAAGACATTCTTAACAATCTCATCGATCGTCTTCTCACAAACAAATCTATAGAGGTATTAAATTGTTCCATATCTGCTTGATTTGTCACTTAAAAAACAATTCTCAAAAACTTATAAAACAAAAAAAATAACTATATTAAAACCGATTTTTTTATAAATTGAATTTTCATGAATTAATTTTTTTAAAATTAAACCAAACAGAGTTTTTGTACAATTTTTTAATTTTCATTTATCTGAAAATATAAACCTATATTTCTCAATACTTTCATTTTTCATAAAATTTCATTTTATTTTCTTTGGAGCTCATTTTGGGTACTTGATTATTACTTGCAGAAAAGTTTTGCTGAAGACGCCAAGTCAAAATTGCAGATTGCTGAACCAGATAGGAAGTGTTGGGAAAATTTTTGCAAAGGCTTCCTCAAGGGGTAGATGGAATTAACAAGCGAGCAAGCTAATTTATTGCATATATAACCAAACTTTCGTTACGATCAATCTTTTTATTAATTTACTTTTAGAATAACCAACTTGGTTATAAAGTATTTACAGAAAAAAATAACTTTTAATTTACCTGGAAAGGAACTTGTTTATATAGCATAAACAAGTCCCATACAATATTGTATGCTCTTTGATCTGATAATGAAAAAATAAATATTGAAAATAACATTGCTTCTACATTAGTATATCATGTGTGTCCCTTACATGCAACTTGTTTGGATAATTTGTATTTTATTGCTCTGACTATCTCTATGGGTATGTAATTCTGTTTTATATATATATAAGAAATTGAAATTCACTTTTCAGACAAAAAGAAAAAAAAACTTGTTTGGATAATTGGCATTGTTTCCGGACTGCATGAATCAGGATAAGGTTTTCCAATATTGTTAGGATAATATGCGAAAACATGGTCTGAAAGGGAGGGCCACTCTTCCATTCATTTGAGCAACCAATTTACAATAGAATATTTGCAGTGAAAGGATCCTGAAATAAGAAGGGTTTAGTGCAGAAAATCCCTCTAATATATGTTTTGTTTTGTGTACAAATAGTTTATTTTTTTTAAAAATGTGTACTTTAATCCATAAAATTTAAAGAAGTACAAATAAGTCACTCCGACTACTTTTTAATTAGAATTGACATAAAGTAATTTAAAAACCCTAATTTGTCCCTTTCTCTTCCTATTCTTTGCCCCTTTATCAATTGGGTTTCATTCACACGTGGACCTAAGGGTGGGTTGAAAAAAAAAAAAATTTTTTTTTTTCACCATACTACTTTAAGCCCAGCCCAAAAATAAAAAAATAAAATAAATAAAAAAAATTACTATTGGTAACCCACTCCAAATTAGCCCAATTCAAAATTAACCCACCCTATTGTGAAATGCTGGATCTGTCATTGGTTTCACCCGTTTAACAATGGGTCTTCTCCAAATTTTAGAATTTTTAAATATTAAGTAAATTTTTGTGCACATGTTTTGCTTCTATTGGGCCACCTAACCAATTAAGGTTGAAAAACATGTGTCCTTGTCTAAAATAGTAATTTTACCTTACTTTATTTTTTGAATATTATTTCATTTTAATGGTAAGAGGGTATTATAGTCTTTTTATGTAAACAGGGAGGTATTTGCACCAAATTAAAAGTAGAGGGGTGTTTTATACCGCACATGGACTTTTTTGCATTGTATTGATAGTAGAGGGGGTTTTTTGCACTTAACCCAAGTAAGAGAAATAATTATATTGTGTGAGTGATACACATTATGATCGAATTGGACTAGATCTATTATTAATATAGGTTTCACTGAATTACTTGATTTAATGATATAAACATTCAATTCAACATATGTTACACCTTACTCAAAATTTTATACCCAAGCAGTGTTCAGTAACTGAAATTAACTTATTACTTTTATTCAGCGACAGAGTTACTGAAGAATTTATCTGGACTATAACTCAAGTCCAAAAAAAATTAACACTACTTTACATCAGTTCACAGCGGGTCCACATGCAGTACTACTCTTCCTCTTTGCAATCTTGACTCTGCCCCTGCCTTTACCCCCCCCCCCCCCCCCCCAAGCGGCGGCAAAGCTTTAATCTCATAGATGTTTTCTTGTATGTGCCTTTTGATTTCACCTCTTCAACTGAAATTTTTAGGCTATTAAATTAATTTGATTTTCTCCTCTGTCTATTCTTTGATCTCTCTATGCTTCTCCATTAGCAGTTCATCTAGTTCTTAATTTTTTTCAATTTATTCTATGAAAAATCTATAAATAACCAAATATGAAGTTAATTATCACAAAAGAGTAGACACATCGATTTCGCAAATGTTAAGACATATTTATTAAACAAATGATTAATGGATCGTTTGGTTGGAGGGAGGGAGGGATGGGACAGCTCTAGAAAAGGGAATTAATATCTCCCTCACTTTTTATTTGATTGAATGGAATGGAATGGATAGTAGAATTGATCAATAAAATTAGTCTTTATTCTTGTTTGTTAGAGGGAAGGAAGAAGATTTTTTATATTCCTTTTACTAATTTACCCTCATTATATAAAAATTAGATATTCATTTCAAAATTTTGGGAAGGTTAAAATGGAAATTAAGTGTTTATTAGTAGTTATCCTTTTTTTTCTCTGCTCACTTTTCCCAAATTTTGGATGGATAGAAAAACACAAAGGAGGGATGCTTCATCCCTCCTTACCTTCCTCATTGTCTTTCTAGCTTCCCTCCAACCAAATACTAGAAGATTCTTCCATCCCACCTCTCATCCATCCCTCCTCAATCCTTCCCTTTAACAAAAGAAACATAAAACTTGAAATTGTCAATTCCATTTACAATTAATTCCATCATCGTATAATTACTAAATGCCATTCACGTACATAGACCTTGGAATTACAAAATGCGTGAAATTTGTGTCACTGATGAGTAGAGCTAGTTATGTTTCCTTGTTAAGGTGATTGTGACTGATGTTAACAGCGGGGGCTGTGTCGCCATTTTTATTGGGTTGTAAGTGTTGTTGGGGGCATGTGGAGAAGACAGTTTAGGTTTCGTAGTGGAGAGAAACAGTAAGAGAAACTTTTATGTTATTTCATTTTATACAATTGATTTATTTGTCGAAAAAAAGAGAGTGAAGAACTATATTATCTTTTTGGAGTGCAAATAGCAACACCTTTAATTTTACACTTAACATGAACAATGACGGACTAGAAAATAATTTAGTTGAGAGCGTCCTTAAACAAAAACAGTATAAAATTTCTTCAAGTAATCATTATAAATGAAACAACTTTAACATTCATTGATTACTTTATTGAGTCTACAATTGTGGTGGACGAATTTTCAAATTTTGAAAAAATGTTATATGATAATTTTTTCTTTTTTCTTTTTTATTTTTATTTTTTGGATATTTGATAACTTCATTAGCTATGCTATTAAGTATATCTTTTTCAACATATACTCTCACTCCATTCATTGATTTCCCGATTACGCGATTAACTCTCACAATATTCATTGCAAAAAACCTTTTATCTCTAGTTTTTGTCGTAACTAGTAGGACTAATGCCAATGTCAGTATGTCACTGACAAATAAATTAACAAATTAATGCACATCTTTTTTGGTTTGAACCACATTTTTTTTTTTTTTTTGCCAAAATCACAAATCCCTTTTAATCATTCAAACTTGTTACTAGAGTCCGTAGATTGATCACCAAGTTTCATGATAGCAACTCAAGAATTTTTTGTTTTTATTATTTTTTATTTTGGAATGAATTAGATTGAGTACGACAGATTAATTTTTGCTCAAAATTAAATAGAAAATGAATCATATATGGCAACAAACATGTCATAGAAAGTAACAATTCTGTATTTGCTTCTTAAATTGATTATTTAACTCATAAAAGTTGCATATCTATAATGGCATAAAATAACACAACACAATTAGATTAAAGTCAAATGGGAGCATATTTTTTATGGGACAAGTACAGACAACATTCTTAAAACATAATTAACGTAACATTTTTATCCTCTATTTAAAAAAATATACAAAAAATATATCTAATCTTTTCACATTGTACAAAAAGACCCCTCCTGACATAAATTAGTGATATAATATCTGTTTTGCCATTTTACTCTTCCGAAAATGCCCAAGGAAATATATATGCTAATATTCTCATAGTAGAGGGGTGTTATTTGCACATTACTTTTCTTTCTTTTCTTTTTTTTTGAAACTTTTTTCTCTATGTTAATTCTAAACTTCCGAAAATGCCCAAGGGAGTATATATGCTAATATTCTCATAGTATAGGGATGTTATTTGCACATTACTCTTCTTCTTTTTTTTCTTTTTTTTTTGAAACTTTTTTCTCTATGTTAACCCTAAACTTTTTATTTTTATTTTTTATTTATTTTTAAATTTTGAGAATTTGTAGAATAATGAATTGAATTTGTTGAAATTTCAGTTTACGATTTTCTACTAATTTTTTTGTTGTACCAAAAAAGTTAATAAAAAAAATAATAAATAAATCCCAATATCATTGTACACTAGTTTTCGGAATTTGTAGCATATTTTTTTTCTTTAATTTGCACTTTATTTTTGATTTTTATTTTCTATTTTTATTTTTACTTTTCTTTTATTTTTTTTATTTTCTATTTTTTTCTTTATTTGTCCATTATTAGCATCCTCTAATAGTATCTTTTTCCAGTCATTTTATAAATTTATTTATTTTTATAAAATGATTCAATAAGGGTAATTTAGTTAGAGGGGCCTATTTGCACCAAATTAAAACTTTAGGGGTATCTTTTGGCACATAAGGGGCGTTCTTCAATAATGTCCTTTTCGGTCATTTTACAAAATTATCTATTTATAATTTTGTAAAATGGTTCAGTAAGGGTAATCTAGTCAACTTAGTAAAATGTCCTTTTCGGTCATTTTTCTTATAATTTTGAAAATTTTAAATTATTTATTTAAATTTTTCAGAGGGATCTATTTGCATCAAATTGAAACTTTAGGAATATTTTTTTGCACATGAGTGATGTAATATACACTGTAAACATGCTTTAGGAATGTTTTCTACACTTCACCCTATTTTTTATAGTGGGAATTTTTTCATATATTTTGAATTTTACAAAATATATAGGTGTATAATACACATCAGTTCATGAACTAATAGAAGACCTTGATATTAACTAGGGAAAACAAACCCTTAGAAAAGTATATAAGAAGTAAATGAACCAATCAATCTGGCAAAAATGTCATGTATTATTGTCATGAGGTATCTCCATGTATTAAATTTCCATAAATGGAATTTCATAAACAAACGTCCTGGACGTAGAAATCACACGTACAGAGTCAAAATGTCGAGCGCTTGAACATCTCCAATGGCTCGATCTTTGAACGTTTCCTTGTGACTGTAGCCTATGTTTGATTGAAAGAAAAAGAGTGGTGAAAGAAGGTTTTCTAATTTGGTTGGATGGAAAGAAAAAGACTAAGAAAATAAAGAGGGATAGAGTATTCCTCTTAATTAAGTTCTAATCCATTATGTGTTTTATATTAGTTCAAAATTAGGCAGAATAGATGAGAGAGAAAAAAAAAAAAATGTTTCCTACAACTACTATGTAACACAAATTTTAACCTTGAACTATTCTACTAAATCACTTGTTATATGTTTATATAATGAGTATACATTATTTTTTCACTAAATAATGAGTATATATTGATAAATAAATAAATAAATAAATATATATATATATATATATATATATATATATATATTCATTCATTTTTTTCTTTATAAATAACAAAAGGTTTCAGCTTTCCATTTAACCAAACAAAGAGTGATGAGACACATTCCCTTCTTTTAAAATTATCTATCCAGCCCTTCGGCTCTCTTTTTCATCTATTTTTTTTTCTTCCAACCAGGTAGAGCAAGCCGAAAAATCTA